TGTTAGTGTGTGTGTGTTAGTGTGTGTGTCAGTGTGTGTGTGTGCAGTCCCTGTGGCAGCCTGAGGGCGGCGCTGCAGTCAGTTGTGTAGCAGGAGGCAGATGAACGCAGTGACACTGTTCATGAATGCATTCATGTGTGAGTGTGTGAGTGTGTGAGTGTGTGAGTGTGTGAGTGTGTGAGTGTCTTTGTGTTGTAAATGTGATTCGACACTCTGGGCTCTGCTCTTGTTGTTGACCTACTTCTGCTGCCGCTGAATGGAGGCAGTGGACGGACCCCACTTTGGTTTAACTTGGTTTAACTTGGTTTAACTTGGTTTAACTTGACCTGGACTGGGCTCGTTCTGTCTCCAGCTTACGGTGAGTTCTGCTAAACCAACCTGGACTTTGCTGCGAGGTTCTGTTGTTGATGTGGTTCTCTGACAGACGGGTCGGCTTCATTCCTGCTGTGCTTCATGGGTTTTTCTCTGTACTCTCACAACAATAAGGGTTCTTAAATGGTTCTTAAAAGGTTCTTCAGGTTCTTCAAAGAACCATCGGCAGCTGAAGAAGTTTGTTCTCTGTGGGTCTTGAAGGCAGTGAGGGTACTTCATTTTATTTGTTAATTGTTTTATTTGTGAGAAAAGTCCGTTTGTTAGATCCCAAAGCTGGCATCGTATAACATGTTGTTCTGTCTGAACAAGAACCCAAAATATAAACTGTGTTCTCATGGAAGGAACCCAGAAATGCTGCAGACTTTGTACATGTTTAGTTCATCAGAGAACGTCAGCGCTCAGACGTCAGGAACCTGAATGTTAATGAACAACAGTAGTGACCTGGACAGTATTTGACAGACGAGTGAGTTGATGAACATGTCCCAGTCCCAGTGAGGAGGACCACAGCACCTGGAACCTTCTCTGAGCTTGTCTTCTGTCCAGGTTCCCCTGATGAGAACGCCCCCTTGGCTCCGCCCACACCATGGCCGACAGGAAGCTCTCAGGTGTACCTCCTCCGACCCTGCCTTCACCAGCTCGTCACCATGGGAGGATTGGCGGGGTGGCGCCCAAAGGTTCTGCTACCTCTCAGCAGAACGGCAGTGTGGACCCAGAACCAGGACATCACAGTCCCAGCAGCAGAACCCCAGCGTCCCCCCTGCGGACACTGCGGACCCTCGGAGGCCTCGTGGCTCCTGGTTCTGAAGGAGGCTCCAGACCTCGAGGTCAGAGCCTTGGCTCGGCCCTGAGCTCCAGGACCCGAACCTCCAGGAAAAAGGTACCAGTCACCTGATCTAGTAAAGCAAACACGTGGTTCTATGTGAGGCTCGGTGGAGCATCTTGGGAGCTGTAGTGTTCTGTCCACACTTCTTGAGTCGGATCAACTCAAACAGAACTGAAATATCAAAGACAGCTTCACAGACACAGACAGAGTTTACCTCCGAGAACCGGTTCTGGCTCAGTTTTCAAGTCCTGCATGGAAACAGAACAATGTCACTGTCTGTGTGTTGTGCTTGTTGGATTCCTTCCTGTGTTTTCCTTTTCCGTGTCTCTTGTCTGTGTAGCAGCACTTTGCTCCTGTAGATGTTCTGCTGCACCTCACCACCATTCTGCTACGCACTCCATCAATCTGATCACAGAGAAGGAATCAGCCTCAGTGTTGGTGGCAGAGTGATGAAGTGTGAACTGGAGGTGGGACGTCATTAAAGAGATTAGTCTAATTAATTAGAGGCACTGGAGTTAATTAATCACGATTAATCACATTTTTATCCATCCATCCATCATCTCTACACCTTAACCCTCACTAGGGTCATGGGGGGCTGGAGTCTATCCCAGCTGACTCAGGGTGAAGGCAGGTTCACCTGGACAGGTAAAGTCCAATTATCGCCATTATATTCAACACTGAAGACGGTTGTCTTAAAACTCTTTGCTGCACTGTTTGCACGCAGCCCAGCTCTGATCTGCTTTCTGCCCAACAAGCCACCAACGCATCTCATCTTCATCTCTGTTCACTAAGCTTTCCAGTGTGCTCAGTGCATCCTGAGCGTCTTCTTTGCGGCTGCAAATGAACTTTAGGTGCATTAGCGCCATCTAGTGGCCGGAGTGTGAGCATCAGTGTTACCGGTGTGCCAGAAATTAGGGAACTGAGAAAGGTGCCATAAAATGCGTGATTTTTTTTGACGCATTGAAGTCCCAGCCCGAGTCCAGTGTGTCAGTTTCTGCTGTTGTGACACAGACAGCTGATAACGGATGGAGCACCTGAGATGGTTGGAGGACTCCACCTGCATCAGGGACTCAGACGAGTCTGTGTTCCAGCTATCTGCCAGTTTATCTTTAAAATCTCCTTTCCTCATGTTTTGCTTTTGTTTTTATTTCCTCTCTGTGTCTGTTTCACTCCTCTTTAATTTCCTTCATTGGATTCTTCTGTATCTGGTCTCTCAGTTCTGTGGATAGTTCTGTTCATCACCTGTCTTTTCTAATGGAACACCTGTTGTCTGCTTCCTACTACTGCCTGTCTGATTTGCTCTGTGTGTTCACCACGTCTGTACTTTTGGGCTCTTTCAGGCTTTTGCCTTTTGTTTGCTTTCCTGTCTGACTTTATTACACATTTTGAGTAAGTTTGGGTAAAGTTTGCCTTTTTGCCACAACCTGCTTGCTGTGTTTGTTTGTCTGCACCTGAGACATACTGACAGAACCCAGAGAAGGTTCTGTCAGTATGCTCATCAGCTGTAGGAAGATGTTCCACCATCAGNGAGTGTGCTTGGTTGTCTGTCTCTAAGTGTAGCCCTGTGATAGACTGGTTACCTGTCCAGGTGAACCCAACCGGTGGAGGCAGATGGCCGTCCCTCCCTGAGCCTGATTCTGTCAGAGGTTTTCTTTCCCCTGTGGGGGTTTCGGTTCCGTCCCACTGTTGCGGACTGCTGAAGCTTAAAGGGAATCCAGATGTTCTGGATTGTTGGGTGTTTCTGTCTTTGTGAAGCGCTATGAGATGACTTGTTGTTGTAAATATGCGCTATACAAATAAAACTGAATTGAATTGAATTGAATTTCATTCTGGACTCTTACCGATAATGAAGATGATCAGGGGGCGTGGCCTCTGAGGAGGGAAGATGTGGACCTCCTGTAGGAGTCCAGAACTCTCCGTCATGTCAGAATCTGACTCTATGGAGAGCTGAGAGTGGACTACAGGACCAAGAGGAAGAACAGGTGAAGAACCAGGACCAGGAGGACCAGGAGGACTAGGACCAGGACCAGGAGGATCAGGAGGACCAGGAGGATTAGGACCAGGACCAGGAGGATCATAAGGACCAGGAGGACCTGGATCAGGAGGACCAGGAGGACCAGGAGGACCTGGACCAGGAGGACCAGGAGGACAACATTTCAGTCTGATTCTGCAGACGTGAAGTTCTGATGTAACTGTAACAAATACAAAGCCGGATGTAGAACCAACAGATTCTACAGTTTAAGTTCCTTCACACTGACATGATCACAGCTGCAGATTTGTGACTGAATGATCCAGTGGACCTGAAGCTCTGACGCTGTTCAGCTAAAGCTTTGTGAACACGTGAATCTGATGAACCATTTATCTGACAACCCGCTCACACGTCTTCACAAATGATCTTACCGTCTTTGCTGTGAATCTTTGTATTTTGTTGTGTCACCTCAGTGTGGACCAGTGGAGCTCCTGTTGGTTCAGATGGAACTCCTGCCGGTTCAGGTGGAGCTCCTGTTGGTTCAGATGGAGCTCCTGCTGGTTCAGATGGA